AAAGTGTCCCAATGGTTCTGAAGAAGTCGAGAATAGGTAAAGTTTAACAGACGGACAGAAGGGCGAACGAAATTGTGATCTGGAAGGCACACTCGAGCTTTCAGCTCATGTGAGTTAAAATTTCGTTATTTTTTGTTTGGACATAATTTTTATTAATTAGTGAGAGGCGTGAGATTTGCTGAGTCATGAACCAAAATCCTCATAAAATCAAGACAGGTCCCGGGAAATCACAAAAATTTACCATCGTATAGTGTTAATATAAAACTGCGGACAAATCACAGGCCCTATAGCTATATAAATCATCTACACAATTTTCAATGGCCACTCGTAAGATTCGTACAGTCGTATGATCGTATGATTGTTCGGTTTATTTTACCATTAAGCCTGCTAGGTTGACTGATTTATACGCGAACTACCCCCCCCCCCCCCGGATAATTTATAATTACAAATGCTCACCCAAAACCTATACATGCATGAATCTATTCTTATGAGCAATTCCTATCTTGAAATCTTCAGAATAAAAGAAATAGTTGGAAAAGGACTTACACCATTACTGATTACACCGATAATATAAATGTTCACCATACCGGAAGTTGTCAGATGCGCATTTTTAGTAGTAAACAGAAAACACAATGTAACTTAAAATCACAAGTTTTAATACTTTATTATTTTCTTAAATGCTTGTTGCTGTTTTATCATAAAAATAATTTGAAGAAAGGGTGATTTGAGAGAGAGAGAGAGAGAGAGAGAGAGAGAGAGAGAGAGAGAGAGAGAGAGAGAGAGAGAGAGAGAGAGAGAGAGAGAGAGAGAGAAATAATTATATACTGGTATCTATTATTAGGCGTCGGAAGCAAGTTGAAACTTGGGGCAACCAAACCAACAAAAAAGTTTTTTAAACGTTCTTTTTTGGGGGTATCCAGTCCACAATTTTCATTGCCTATATTACATCCCCCCCACTTATACTCTTATTCCAACGTCTATTCTATTTTATATTTATCACCCTACTGTAATAAAATCAATATAGAGAAAAAAGATCAACAATAAATAGCTAAAACTTTGCTCCCCCCCCCCCCTTACCTTGCATTATCAACTCAGATTTCCCTGCGAATAGCAACGTCACACATGAGTGATTTCATGACCAGAATTCAGACGTCAGTTACAGTGTAAAAGATCAAATTGAAAACCGTTAGCAAGCTTATAGTACTGAAAACACTGCTGCTGCATGGTCATCGTAAATCGCCGTAATATTTCACAATTTTATAAAAATAACAATATCTTTTTAAATCCCCAATATAACCAAGGAAAATGGGTCAATAAACGACATCTGAATAAATGCTGATCATTTTTATAATCTTGAACTGACTTGGTTTTCATCCTATGAATGAAACCAAACTCCTGATATCACGACGGTCTTCAAAAATCACAAAAATTGATTTGAATATATTTAATTACTACTGTGAAATAAAACAAATATGGATTAGACAACAGGCAAAGCAGTACGAGGGATAAAACCCTCTGTTTTTTCATCTAACACTGGTCCAACATCTGTGTTCATTAGGATAAGTATGGACAAGGAGGTATAGCATAAAAAACATGATAAATTTATCAATTTGTCAAATTTATTTAAGATACCTTTTTCATTTGTTAAAATTTTTTTCTCTTCTTAGTGCTAATCCTCACCTAGCCGCAATAATGTAGCCCTCTCCGATTTTTTTTTATCTGATGTTTTCTGGAGAGGGCTACAATTCCATCGCATCTCCGTAATGGTGCAAATATTTTTTTTTAATATGAGCGACTGCAGGCAAAATAAATTATTTTTACATTCAACTTACTTCTAATAAGACGAAATTTTTATTCACTGTCAACAACATATCCCGTTAAATGCAAAAAACTTGTAAAATAACTCTGCAAGTTTCCTTGTAGTTTACTTCAGCAGCCGTGACAGTTCACGAGTGACGTAATGAGACTTTCGCTTGAAATTTAGAACAACTGAATAAAGCAATTATCGGTGTTTATTAATGATTGTGCTGAATTTCATCACAAAAACATAGGTATACAAAACTATTTTAAGTGTTATTTTTATGCAAGCAGCGATATTTATGCTTAAAATAAGGGAATTCCAAAAAGATCCGCTCCTATAGAACCTAAATTCTCATTGGCTGTCCCAAAATACAGTCTATCAAGGTCAGTAAACATGGCGGATAAATTCGAGTTGTGATGTTGACATACACGAAAAATAAGCGATATAGGGATCTTTCTGTATATTTTTGCATTGATTTACGTCTTGGATGACTACTTATTTGGAGTCAAGGTAAGAAATGTTAATTAAATAGCCATTTACTGATAATTTGAGCCGAAATCCGTGCGGGAGCGAATCACACCCGCAGCTGCACCATTAGGAAGATCCTAAGGAGTTGTAGCCCTCTCCCCCCCCCCCCAAAAAAAAAAAAAAAGGGAGAGGGCTACATTATTGCAGCTAATCCTCACCCACCCTCGAAAACGATGCTTTGATCCTGCATGGTTACTCCATTATTATCAATCATACCTCAGGACCGTAGCATCGATTTTGAAAGTGGGGGGCCAGCCACTGAAATTTTCTTTTTACTTACCTGAAAAAGTTGACAAGCAAAAAAAAAAGGGAAAAGTTGAAAGTTGCCCATTGTCGAAAATCCTATTTCGGGGGGATAGAGGCAAACTTTTTTCACTATCATTTCCTTTCGATATCCATTTTTTAAGCTTACAATACTATATTTCCTTCATAATACTTTACTTTAGTATAAAGTGGGGGGCCAACCAGCCTTTCAATGAACATTTTCAATAGTAAAAGTATTGTTGGCAAAAAAGGGGGGGGGGGGCAGGCCCCCCCTGGCCCCCCCCCCCCCCCCGGTTGCTACGTCCCTGTACCTTCGTACTGAACCGTCTTCACAAAGAAAAACTTACTTTTTAATTTTCCACTTGTTCAACAAGCCGTTAGTGCTTGTTCATTAAACTTTAAATTAATCCACCTCCTTGTTAGAATTCATTTAAAATGCAAATTTTACTCTTTTAAAAATACTTACACTAAACCATATTCCACTTCTTTAAGGGTGATTTTTATCTTGAAATCTTCAAGATCAGTTAAACTTATGGTATAGGTCTAACCGCCATTTCACCAGTACTGAGAATACTGTTCACGTACGATACCGGAAGTGTATAATTATACAAACACGTTTCATACACACACAAAAAATGTAAGTTCATAAAAATCAAAGATAAAGAAAAATTTTTCAAACTCTGACATAAAATGATAAAAATGTTTTTTTTTTTTTTTTCAATTTTTCTAGAATATGAATCTTTATTGCTGTGTTCACCCCCACTATCTAACCCCCCCCCCCCATTCTCTCTCTTTTTCAAATATACGACTTTTATATTAAAATTGTATTTTTAATAATTTTTTATAGACTTTAAATGTCGGCATATATTTATTATTTACATACAAATGTACTTAACCCCAGATTTTTTGCGATGGCATTCACATACTTGTTTTTTCTCCAAGAAATCCCGTATATAAAAAAACAACCGTTTTAAAACTCACAAATATCCCATTTTTTTTCTGGGTTCGTGTATCAAAATGTTTTGTAACACCCTTCAAAAATCTTCCTATGATATCCATGTTTGCACTGGATGCCGATGGCAAAATTTGCATTTACCTGCAATGCAGATTTAATTCAGTCAATTCCGTAACAGTCGAACACCAACGAATGAATGTAGATATTGGTACCCAATTCGATTTTTAAAAAGATAAGTCTAAAGTCATAATCATGAGACCGTATTAACCGAAATCCCGTATCGCAGCACGTGCTACACGAAAAAGATCCCTCACTGTCCAATGGCCATGAATGCCGAGTAGAGGATTAAAGGACAATGGTGGGAGTCTCCTTATTAGTGAAAAAATCTCGAGAGGGATGTTAAACAACAAACAAACATGTAAATCTAAGTTTCAAATACAGGACACATCTTTGCAACGCATGTTACACTATAGGCCTATACAGATATAGTTGGAAGTATGTATCCAAAGCAGAGCGTGAGAGAGAGAGAGAGAGAGTCCCCGCGCACTTTGTTAATCTTGTACATATCAATTATTATAGTGCAAATACGAAAAGAAATACTTATAATTCATCCATTCCTTGTCAATTTCATTTCGATTCATGATCGCCCCGGCCCTGAATAGAATCTATCATGTTTTGTTTCGAGGACCATGTCAGAAAATTGGATTGGTTTGCAGTGAGACTAACTGTTTCAAAGATTGTTAAACTCTCAAACACTGGTACATGTACTTACTTTGCATGAGTTAAATCTACAGACAGTTATAGTAAAACTACTTCTACAATATTCCCGACTGTAAATCAAAAGATGCATGGTGGAATGACAGAACAAAGGGAGAGAACTCGATGGGGCATTCCCTAAACTTTAAGAGTTGTTCCTCTTGTAACTTTTATACTTGTAAGTCTTTTAAAGAATTGTAAATAAAAACATATCGGCCTGATGTTTTTTGGCTTTTGGAAATTCAGCTCTGCCAAGTAATATTCAATATAAGGGTGGGACAGGTGAACAAAAAAAGTAAATGCCTACTCCTTCTTTTATTTGAAAAAAAAAAACATATCAGAAGCAATAGTATTAAAAGAAAGCTACCCCCCCCAAAAAAAAAATCACACAAAATGAATAAGAGTAATCTGTCAAAACTCCAATTTCTCTTCGAAGTACCCCCCCCCCCCCCCAACCTTGTAATTGCGCAACCTTACAGCAACAGAAACGAGGGCGTGAGCCACAGAGGGGCATCTAAATGTAAGTTTACTACAGGAAAATAAACCAAATCTTTTATGTTAATAAAAAAATTGGGAAAACAATACCTATAAGAGGACATTTTTACGTAAGTCCACACTTGAACTGATTTTATTAATTTATTAAAAATATTTTAAATTTCGCGTCAAAGTGGTCTTATAAAAACAATCTATTTTTACTTCTTTAAATTGTGTATTTGTATTATTTTACTAGACCCAAAGTAGGCCCTAACAAAATTCCGAAAGAATTATTCGTCACAGAAAGCTGCAACGTCACAATAGCAATTATGACGTCATTATACCTTAGACTATTAGCAACGAATGTCGGAATAGTGTTGTCATCTGATCAGAAGCAAAGCCTTGTACTTGAAAACAATGAACACCCATAACCAGGTGAGTAGAAACTTTGTACAGACTTAGTTAAAGAACAGGTGCGTATAATGTTGCAGTTATACCCAGTGCATTTTCTTTTGCATCATTTAATTTTATAGTGAAAGCAGAAGCAGAGTCCACCATCAACTTTACAAAATAAGAAAATTATTTGAAAGAAACAGTGGTCGGATATTAATTGTGTTAGTAAAAAAATATAAATAGAGAAAATATATTCATAAAGTCATCAAAATATCATCTACATAAAATATGCGCTTTAAGATTTGTACATCAACAAAAAAAAAACAACAAAAAAAACAACAACAACAACAAGCAAACAAACAAAACATTTTAACTTAGCTGCTTTGGAAATAGGGGACATGTTTTTTTTTCCTACGATTTTTACGACTAATCATATATTATTTTTTGCAGAACAGTACGTTTTCAATATGTTATGAACGTGATTCTGCTTTTGTTTCAACATGCAAATATAATGTACAGTTGAATAACTTAAAGCAGACATTTCCGTAATAAAATTAATATTGCGATATAATAGCAACTGTGACGTCAGTTACATAATCATCAAAAAAGAATGCTTGATAATGGTTATTGTAATGTTTGAAAAAAGGATATATAGGGAAAACATTTTAGGAAAACCTAGAATAATAAGCATTCTTTGATACATAAAGCTTTTTATTAAGGTTTTAATCATTTCTACTAATTGTTATGATTTTTATAGAACGAGATCTTGGATTTTGGAGAGGACCCTGTGACTAGTGTGGTTGGTGTATTTTACTTATTAAACTAAAACGAATTTATTAGGTTTTTTTTATTTCACGCAGCTAACTTTGTTTTTGAAAATGTATTTCTCTCCTTTTTCATCAAAAAAAACAAAATCTTTTTTTAAAAAGTTCATTGAATTTCAGAGTAAGGAAGATGTCCCTGTGCCCCAAGAGCGTGTAGGTCAGGCAGAGGTCAAAGGTGCTGCAGATGTAGCAACCGAATCCTCAACATCAGAAGTGACCAATTCTAAGGTAAAAATTAAACAAAATATTAATGCTACAAGAAATAGTATATCGATACAATGAGTCTTTAACCATCGTTACGAGCTAAGAATTCTTAATATTTCTTACACTTGTTTTTAGATTTCTGCATTTCAGTTGAGTGATGAAGGCAAACACTTCATGGAGCCAAAGATACCTAAGGAAGACTTACAAAGTCAGTTATTGGATCTGGGAGAAGAGATTCAAGGGGCTGGAGCCAGCACAAGCTGCAATGAATTACCTGGAATATTGGAAGAGGAACCACAAATCGACGACTCTGTGATACAACATATGAAGAGACTGACGCCCATTTTTGATGCGAAATCTGGGATTGTTATAGGAGAGATTCACGCTCAGTACCTTCCCCGCGTATTGGACAAAGACGACAGAACAGCGATAAACACAGCTGAAACCCATACCAGTGGAACAAACACTAGTGCAAAAGAACCCAATGAGTCCCAGGTTAGATAATATTTAAAAAAAAAAAGTTTTGGTACATGTAAAATATCATTCCACCAAATAAAATATGATCATTTACTTACCTTTTTACTTACCTATGTCTAATTCTAATTACAGAGCTCAAATGTCGCAGGAAGTTCGCAAACCACCATGAAGGATGGAAATATTCCTTCTTGCAGCACCGAGAATCGAACAAAGTAAGAATGTGTTAATAAAACAAAACCTTAAAAAGACGTGGTTTTAAATATCCACTTTGAATAATTCAACAATTTGCATTGATATTTCTGATTATAAAATTAACACGATTGATATCTGTTACAGAAATATATTTGGCCTGGAAGTCATTGATACAGAAATAACGCTTCTGTCAACGGAGGTAAGGGGGGAAATTAGTCAGATGATCTCTGAAAATATTTTCCCTTCATTTCTTAAAATGTTTTAAACGAAGAAAAGACCAAAGACAACATAAGTGCAGATTATTTGTTTCTTTTTTTAATTTATAAATTTATTTTTTGGTTTGTACTTTATAAAATACAATCCTCAAGAAAAACACGTTTCTTCATTATGAATTGCACCGATATCATTATTTTGTTATAGAAGATTTTTCAATTATGTTTTTTAACAGATAATTGGTTCCCCCGCCCACGAACCAGAGTCTTAGAGTGTTGTACATGCAGAAAACGATTATTTCACCAGACACCCACTGATGCGCTTATTCCTTTGTGGAGCATGTTGCTGCCCAGTGAGTTCATGTTTCTGAATACTTGAAGTATAAATCTTCTGTATTTGAATGGCTTATCTGTTAATTTATACAGCCTTGCTTTCTGAAATATAATATTCCATTTTTTTTTCCAGAAAAAAGAGAAAACCAAGAGAACCGAGAAAGTTGGACTGTGCCAGAGAATAAGGAAATTTTTCCGCAGGAATTGAATGAACTTACCTAATTGTTTGATATATCTGAAAAGAAGAAGCTATAATCTGTGATATTTTCGTATGAAAATCTATTAAATTTTATCTTTATACATGTACCTACATTATGTTGTTTATTTAGGTTTTATTGACTATTTCTTCAAAAGTCTGCAATTCATTTTTCCTGCCAGGTATGACAGATAAAATAATAAATATACAGTTATTTTATTTAGAATTCACCAATCTTGCAGGATAGCAGTTTTTGGTATTAAATAGCATTTGCAGGCTTTTGTTGTTTTATGTTTTTCTCACGATCACCATTCTTTATTAAAAAAAAGGAAACGCTAGTATATTATTAAATTATATAAGCTGAATCTGATTCGTCGAGAAATATTTTTTAAAACACTATATTTACATCCACTGAATATTTTCTTTATTTCTTAAGAAAACCCATTGCCGTTAATCAGTGCGTGAACAACACTAAGCATATCACCTGTAAAGATTTCTTGATCAGTGGCTGTTCCATCAATGAAACATACAAAGACGGACGTATCATCAATACAATAATTAATCTTTTTAATCCTACTTTAAATGATTATTTAAACAGATACAAATATAAACAATAAAATGTCTTTCTTTGGTTGTTAGTACGGTAATGAATGTCGCAGCTATATTGCAGAAAAAAATTTACATAACCCGCGTAAGCGGGTTATGTATTTTTTCTGCAACCGCTGCGTCATTCATTCCCGTACTAACAACCAAAGAAAGTATTTTATTGTTATACCCGCACTTTCGAAAGAAAGTTCGGGTATATTGTTGTTACTCATGTCCGTCCGTCCGTCCGTCCGTCCGTCCGTCCGTCCGTCTGTCACACTTTTCTTCCCTGAACTCCTCCTACATTTCTCACAGTAGCTTAATCATCCTTTGGGAGATGGTTGGGGGTGTCATGTAGATGTGCAGTAAGGTTTCGGAATTTTGATTTTGCCCCGAGGGATCAAATGGGGGTCGAAAAATGACGTTTTTTATACAAAAAGCCCCTTCTTCCCTGAACTCCTCCTACATTTTTCACAGTAGCTTAATCATCCTTTGGGAGATGGTTGGGGGTGTCATGTAGATGTGCAGTAAGGTTTCGGAATTTTGATTTTGCCCCGGGGGATCAAATGGGGGTCGAAAAATGACGTTTTTTATACAAAAAGCCCCTTCTTCCCTGAACTCCTTCTACATTTTACTCAGCAGCCTAATCAACTTTTGAGAGATGGTTGGTGGTGTCATGTAGATGTGCAGTAAGGTTTCGGAATTTTGATTTTGCCCCGGGGGATCAAATGGGGGTCGAAAAATGACGTTTTTTATACAAAAAGCCCCTTCTTCCCTGAACTCCTTCTACATTTTACTCAGCAGCCTAATCATCTTTTGAGAGATGGTTGGTGGTGTCATGTAGATGTGCAGTAAGGTTTCGGAATTTTGATTTTGCCCCAGGGGATCAAATGGGGGTCGAAAAATGATGTTTTTTATACAAAAAGCCCCTTTTTCCCTGAACTCCTTCAACATTTTACTCAGCAGCCTATTCATCTTTTGAGAGATGGTTGGTGGTGTCATGTAGATGTGCAGTAAGGTTTCAGAATTTTGATTTTGCCCCAGGGGATCAAATGGGGGTCGAAAAATGACGTTTTTTATACAAAAAGCCCCTTCTTCCCTGAACTCCTTCTACATTTTACTCAGCAGCCTAATCATCTTTTGAGAGATGGTTGGTGGTGTCATGTAGATGTGCAGTAAGGTTTCGGAATTTTGATTTTGCCCCGGGGGATCAAATGGGGGTCGAAAAATGACGTTTTTTATACAAAAAGCCCCTTCTTCCCTGAACTCCTTCTACATTTTACTCAGCAGCCTTATCATCTTTTAAGAGATGGTTGGTGGTGTCATGTAGATGTGCAGTAAGGTTTCGGAATTTTCATTTTGCCCGGGGGGTGGGGGGGATGGGGATCAAATCGAGGTAGAATTTTTATATATATATATTTTTTTACATATATTTGACATGCTTAATCACCCTGCATTCAAGAACTTCCCTAATATCTTATGCTGCAATAGCTTTAAACCATGATCATTTAGAAAATGATTGGTTTGTTTTGTGTATGTGTAAAATGGTTTTAAAATTTGAATTTTCATATGGATGGCAAAACGGGGCTGGAAAAATATGGCACCTCCCTAACCCTGGTGGTCATGATTTGTACAAACTTGAATCTACACCTCTTGAGAATATTTCCATATTAATCATGCTCTTGGTGTTCCTGAAAAGAACTTTAAAGATGTGTTTCCTTTTATTCCTTAATAAAACTTTGATCCCTAATTGTGGCCTGACCCTAGCCTGAGGTGATGATTTGAAAAACTAGAAATATGTCTATAGGACATGAATGTCCCGCCAGATGTGTATTACTAATGGTACATTAAACAAGAGGCCCATGGGCCACATTGCTCACCTGAGTACTGAAGCTAAGAAAAAGTAGAAATTGGTTTATTATTGAAAAGTTAAAATCCAAAAGTAATCCCATGATGAATCATGGATTTGCTTTTCTTCAAAGAATTTTCCCATATATTTCTATGTAAAACTTTGGTCGGCCATTTTGGCCCCGCCCTACCCCCTGGGGTCATGATTTGTACAAATTTGAATCTACACGACCTGAAGATGCTTCCATATAAATATGATGAATTATGGATTTGTCATTCTTGAGAAGAAGATTTTTAAAGAATTTTCCCATAAATTTCTATGTAAAACTTTGGTCGGCCTTTTTGGCCCCGCCCTACCCCCAGGGTCATGATTTGAACAAACTTGAATCTTCACTACCTGAGGATGCTTCCATATAAATTTGATGAATTATGGCTTTGTCATTCTTGAGAAGAAGATTTTTAAAGAATTTTCCTATATATTTCTATGTAAAACTTTGGTCAGCCAATTTGGCCCTGCCCTACCCCCGGGGGTCATGATTTGAACAAACTTGAATCTACACTATCTGAGGATGTTACTCCATAAGTTTCATCTTTCCTGGCACAGTGGTTCTTGAGAAGAAGATTTTTAAAGAATTTTCCAATATATTTCTATATAAAACTTTGGTCGGCCATTTTGGCCCTGCCCTCCCCCGGGGGTCATGATTTGAAGACATTTGAATATTCACTACCTGAGGATGTTAACCCATAAGTTTCATCTTTCCTGGCACAGTGGTTCTTGAGAAGAAGATTTTTAAAACATGCCACCAAATTTTCATTAATTCCCAATTATCTCCCCTTGAATGAGGGCATGGCCCTTCATTTGAAAAAAACTTGAATCCCCTTCACCCAAGGATGCTTTGTGGCAAGTTTGGTTGAAATGGCCCAGTGGTTCTTGAGAAGAAGTCGAAAATGTGAAAAGTTTACAGACAGCTAGACAGACAGACGGATGCCGGACAAAATATGATCAGAAAAGCTCACTTGAGCCTTCGGCTCAGGTGAGCTAAAAACTAAAAACTAAAATTTGTATTTGTGTATAAAGTTTGATGAAAATATCTTAAACAGTTTTTTTTTCAGAATTGAAACTAAAATATAAATAAATTGGATATAGATAATAAATTCTCATCAAATTATGTATAAGTGCATGTTAAACATAAAAATGTCTTAAATTATTTCTTAAAAACTAAGCAAAATACATATTAAAGAGGAGGGAGGTCAAGGTCACAGGAATGTGCAAGATGAAGTTTTTGATGCAGCTGAATAGCTCTCACTAATACATATTAGCTTATTATGTTTGATAAAAATATCTTGAATGATTTAATGAAACTGAGCTTAACACTTTGTTTTAAGAAAAGAGAAGTCAAAGGAAAGGTTGTGGTCAAAATGTTGTTCTAGCTGAAAAGCTTACATCAGTGTGAATTTACTATTATCATATGAATTTTGATAAAAATATAATTAATGGTTTATTTGAAACTTAGATAAACACATATTTTAAAAAGTGAGGTCAAGGTCAAAAGAAAATTCAAGGTCAAAATAAGTTAATGCAATAATAGCTCTCATCAGTATGTATTAGCATATGAAGTTTGATTAATATATCTTGAACTGTTTATTCAAAACTGATCTAGTCTAAGACAGTGAGGTCAATATCACAGGAAATGTCAAGGTAAAAAAGAGTGAAGCATTGTAAAGCTTTAATTGCTTACATCAGTATGTATCATCATGTGAAGTTTCATTACACAACTTGAATCATTATGGTTTCTCTAAAATAAAGCTAAACACTAATTTTAAGAAAAGTTAAGTAAAGGTCAAAGGAAAGTAAAGGTAAACAAGATGTGTTTGTGAAACACTATGCGCCCGGCGGAAACAAAGTTCAAAAAATCTATTTTTAGCATATTGGTCACAGTCAAGGTCACAAGGTCACTGACCGTGGTGTCATTTGAAAGAACTTAATCAGTGGAGTATGCATCCCAAATATGAAGTCCCTATCTACTATGGTTTAAAAGTTATGGCCAAAAGTGTAAAAAGCTATTTTTAGCATATAGGTCACAGTCAAGGTCATTGACCATGGTGTCATTTGAAAGACTTTAATCAGTGGAGTATGCATCCTAAATATGAAGTTCCTATCTCCTATGGTTAAAAAGTTATGGCAAAAAGTGTAAAAAGCTATTTTTAGCATCTAGGTCACGGTCAAGGTCACAAGGTCATTGACCATGGTGTCATTTGAAAGAACTTAATCTGTGGAGTTTGCATCCCAAATATGAAGTTCCTATCTCCTATGGTTCAAAAGTTAAGGCAAAAAGTGTAAAAAGCTATTTTTAGCATATAGGTCACAGTCAAGGTCACAAGATCATTGACCTTGTTGTCAACTGAAAGGGCTTTATTAGAGGAGTATGCATACCAAATATCAAGTCCCTATCTCCTATGGTTAAAAAGTTATGACAAACAGTGGAAAAAGCTATTTTTAGCATATAGGTCACAGTCAAGGTCACAAGGTCATTGACCTTGATGTCATTTGAAAGGACTTTAATAGTGGAGTATGCATACCAAATATGAAGTCTCTATCTCTTATTGTTCAAAAGTTATGGCCAAG